ACTACTACTGCTACTACCACCACCGCTACTACTACACTACTACAACTACTAGTGCTAGTGCTAGTGCTAGTGCTAGTGCTAGTACTAGTACTAGTACTAGTACTAGTATTCGTACTACTACTACTACTACTACTACTACTACTACTTCTTCTTCTACTACTCCTACTGCTACTACTACGGCGACGGCGACGGCGACGGCCGCCATCACCACCACCTCAACCACCACCACCACGGCCACCCGCCACTGGCCACCCGCCACCCACCACCCAGCGCCCAGCACCCAGCACTACTGCTTGTGGCCACTGTACCGCCTGCTACGATGTTGCTGCAACTACTGCTGCCTCCCTCGTACCGAAGACGACGACCAATACTATTGCTACACAATTACGAAGCGTATGTTCTCCAGCTGCTGAGGTGACGATTTTCCGGCAGTTGAGGCTTCTAGTCGGTACTTGTATAGCAAGCATCGGAGCTCTCTTCTGGTCGATGGTGCTGCTCATGGTTTTGAAAGTCGGCTTCGCACTGATCATCTGCCAAGCTTTGCAGGGGTACGTTTTGGATGACCAGCAAGATCTGGATACGCGGCTGTTAGTCAACAAGTTGTACGGAGACTTTGGCAAAGCTTTCTACACAATGTTCGAGGCGACTCCCTGACTACTGTTATTTCTCTGAAACTTCTCTATCCGAGAATGTAAGGCTAAGCAGAAAAGTTAGGCCACTCCACTCGCAGCCAGATCAGGTAACTCACTCTGGTAGCTGGCCGGGAGTTGTCCGGCCTGTTGTGGACAACGTGGATGCATTGTATGCCATACCATTCTTAACATACATTACTTTGGTGGTTTTTGCCGTGATAAGGAGCCACGGCAGCAAGGTTCGGTGCATGAAGAATCGGGTGAATTTCTGTGATGATAGTATTGGCAGTTTTTGCTTGGGGCGAGGTCCCGTGTTGATGTCTTCGCCTGTTATTTTTTGCATAAGGATCGTCACAGCCCTATTCCTCAAAGAGACTTTGGCCAGCGCCGCCAATGATGCCGACATGGTCATGGAAGACAACCGTCGAATGGCCCGCGATGCCCAAAACAAGCTAGAAGAGCTTTTCCGGGCAGCAGACGATGATGGGGATGGCCATCTGACTAAAGATGAGTTTGCTGCAGCTATGAGTCTGCCCAGTGTGCAAGGCTTCTTGACGTCTCTGGATGTTAGTGTTCGGGACTGCCACCCACTTTTTGATATCCTGGATGATGGGGACGGACTTATCACGACCGCAGAGTTCTGCAAGGGCCTGATGCAGCTGAAGGGGCAAGCCCGGGCTTTGGATATCTTCGTCTTGCAACGTGAGAATGCTAAGCTCATGAAGGAATGCCAGGACATCCAACGTTCTGTTCTGGACATCTCTGAGTCCTTCAGGGGTGCTGTAAAATAAGGTCTCGAAGAGACCGTGCACGACTCGGCTTTCTCAAACTTGCTGGCTATGCTGGCCATGTACCAAAAGAAGATCGAAGCTAGCGTTAGATAGTCTTAGATGGAGCTGCGCAGAATGCAGCACTTTAAGTGGTGCAAGCTTGCAGGGGTTGCCTCAGTGGCTTCAGCGGCTCAGGTGTCCCCTAAGGGGCTGTACTCCGCACCATCTTAGCCGCGGCCATGCCGCCAAAATACAGCGGTGGGAAGTTCTCGGAGGTGCAATGGACAGAGTTTCAATCTTGGATGCAGACACAACTGGACCAGAAGTTCCGGGAGCAGGAAGCAAAGATCAAAGAGGTCTTCGACGGCTTGAACTCTCGAAGTTGGCAATTGGGCGATGCACGACTACATGCAATAAGTGAAATGTCTGCAAGGCACAGCATGGGAGCGGACACGGAACCGGGCATCAGTGCTTCGGACGCGGTTGTGTGTTTGTTTGTTTGTGCTTGTTCGACTCGGTGCAGTGCAACGGTCCCTTGAGTGAACTGGATTTTGTGTAGCGGTAGCAAGACCAGGACATTAGTCATTGAAAAGCATTGGTGCAAGACTGAGCTGTCAACATGTCCTTGAGTCGCGGGCTGTAAAGCTTTTGCGGGCAAAGGGGCGCCAAAAGTCCTAGGCAGCACATCGCTTCCCACACTGCGGCTGGACGACTCGATAGACGTCGTGGCTGAGCCCGTCTCTCCGCACTCCGAGCACTCGGACATCAAGCATACTCCCCACGTTACTCGTATCTTGGGGAAGGAGGTGGTGAGGGAGAAGTTGAAAGCAAACCAGCCATTCAAGGCATTTGTGAAGAAGGGCCTCGATTTCTACATGGCTCTTGTTGTTCTTGCCAACCTCGTGTGTATCATCGCCATGACAGAGTGGACGGTGCATCAGACGGACCTGGCACTAGGGCTGACTGATGCAGAATGGGCAGGTGCTTCTCTCGAGACCTTTGAACTTCTTGAATACGTCTTCTTCGGCATCTATCTGCTGGACGTGCTTCTTCGCATGGGCACTCTAAGGAGGGAGTGGTACTTTGACCAAATGGAGGGTATCATGTACCTCAACATCTTTGATGGAGTGCTCGTCCTGATAAATGTCTTCGAGTTGGTTGCACTTCCCGCGCCCGCTGCCTAGCATCAGCAACGCATACCGTACCTTCTGCTTCCCGTGGCTCCCTAAACCCTATAAGCCCCATAGACTCTAGACCCCGCTGTAAACCCTATAAACCCTAAACCCTACAAATCCTATAAACCCTATAAGCCCTAAGCCTGCTCTAGCTCAGGATGCTTTCCGGAGGGGCCGAGCAGCAGCATGCGACAACCATTCGGGTCATCAAGCTGGTGCGCATCGTCCGAACGCTTCGCATCTTCAAAACAGCGGCCAAGCGGCACTTGGCCCTTGGAGTGCTAAGATCTACGCTGCGTCTCTAGGCCATCAAGAATTGAGGGTGTAAAACCGACCAGACTTCGACTATCTCGAGCAAGGGACTGCTCTACTTCGGCTATCTATATAAAGGGAGTGTCAGACTACAAGTTGTTGGTTTCGTGCCTGTGCCGGTCTTCTACAATGCCCTACGCGCGGTGATTCAGGGAGACTTTCTACAGTCAGAAACTTAAAAGCTTGACATGATGATGAAGGGTCCGTGAGGCTTCTATTCAGAATTCGCCTGTCCAATTTGCAAAATCGTGCAGAAATCCAGAGTCCGATGGTGGTTTATGTAGGTTTCACAATTCAAACGATGAAGTTGTAAAGTTACGGGTTCCCTCCACCTCTGTATATGTGTTTATCCGAGAGTGTTGAATAGTGCTACCAATGTCATCATGCAGGCAGAGCATGAGTGAGGATGCCAAGCGCATCTAACTTGTACGTTTGGCTCAAGCATGGTTCGTGAAGAGGGCTTTGCGTTGAGGGTTTGGGTTCTCCTGTTGGTTCCCTTCCCCTCTTTCTGTGATCGTTCCCTGGTTCCCTTCCCCTCTTTCTGTGATCGTTCCAACCCTACCTTCTTGAAATCATCGGTTGGGGTCGGAATAACTGGTTATCAGCCGTAATTGTTTTTGTTCGTTCAGGGTTGCTTTGCTAAGACTGTCCGCGCTGTACATGTCGGATATTCCTCCTGATCCGTCTGATCAGGGCCCTCAGCCGCAGCCGCCGATTGCCGCACGCATTCGCGGCATCCGAGCAGGCAAGTCTGCGAGGCGTAAGAGGGCGGCTTCTCAGAGGTACGTATTGGATTTTTGTATCGAGGGCAATCGCTATACAGCAATTCGGACGAGGTTCCGGTTCTTCACCACGACGGTTCATCGCGCCCAATTTACAGCAAACCAACTTCGGAGCCGTTTGTTGTAGAGGAGGCGGAGGAGCACTCAGAAGTCTGCTCCAGATCTTCGTGTGCCTAGTGAGCCGGCTGGTCCTCACCGAGGGCGGGATTGAATCCTCTTATTCGGAAAGCTAAGCCTAGGGTATGTGGCGGTACTCCGCCGCACTCCCGGTTGGCTCCCCTTGCTGGCCAAGCTCCACCTGCAAAGGCGCCTTCTACTATCACTCCTGTTATTGCACCGTCTAAAGCACTGCCAAGGGTTGTGCGGGAGGTCGTATCGTCTTCGTCGTTTGGACCGCCAGCTCCGGTTGTGAACGTGGACGAGGAAGTGGTTGTGGAGGTGCCTGAGGTGCCTAGGAGTGTGCCTGTGAAGGCGAGGCTTCAGGTGAAGGCCAAGGCTGCTGCGCCTCCCAAGTATATCCCTTAAGCCTCTGCAGCGGCGTGAGGTTTTCGAGCTGCGTGGTAATCATTAAGATCAGACAGTCCACTACTGCTGACTGGTTGGGCATTATCAGCTTCGATTTCCACAAAGTCCTGGACAAGCACTTCCGTTTGACGACGAACTGGCGCGACAATCAGCCTTTGTTTCCAGAGCCCAACATCTCGCTGCTAAAGCATTTGTTGCCCGTCATTGGAAACTCCAGATTGCCGTGGTGGTTTTGTCGTATTGCCACGTTGCGGGTACACTGCGCCACGTGTTGAGGACTTGCAGCGAGTCTTGCCGTTTGATCGAGGGTCAAAGAGACACTATCCCCATCGACGCCTTCTTGATTTCTCGCAGGCCTACGGGTCCCCAGGGAAGCGTGCAGCTCCTGATCAGTTGTCAGTGGCTGGCAGAGCTACTCGACTTTTGCCTGTGCTGTGTTTTGCGCTTGCGCAGCCGGCGTGCTGCAGCAGTTCGGGTTGAATTTGTGATTTCGTTATCAGTTTGTTGTGTAGTGAGCTCAGCAAAGGTTGAAATTGGATTAGGGTTTAAGGCAATAGTCTTACTCTGGTCTGGTCGGCGCCCTGCGCCACTGACCTTGCAAACCAGCTGTTGGTCTGATCGGCGCATTGCGCTACTGACCGACTAACAAGCACTGAGCCTTTCCCCGGGCTATGCCGTAAGAGGTCCTTGCATCAACCATGTCCCGATCTCAATCCAAGCCCCCTGCTTGAGGTTTCCAGTGCTTCAGCGGCGGCAGTTCCTGGTTTGCGGGATTCTTCCTGTGCTTTAGGGGTCAGCGAAAAGTTCAGCTTTGGCCGAAGGGAACGATCTCCTCCTGCCAATAAAGGGGCCTTAGCCCGAAGTCCTCGAATCCAACCATCCCCATATCCTGTCGCCTCTGGGTCCCCAATTGCGCCCATTGCTCACACCGTGATTCAGAATCAAATCAATCAAATGAACATTGGAGCCCAGCTTGAGGAAGTCATGGCTGCGCAGCAAGTCGCCGCAGATGAGGGAGCCAACAGGGTTGCAGCTCAGGATGCTCAGGCCGAAGTTCTTCATCAGGCTTCCATGAACAAGTTCAGAGCCAAGTTCGTGATGTTATCGCAGAGGCTGGTAGCATGGTGGATCAATTGAGGGAGCTTCGTATGTCAGAGATACGGGGAATTGTTTTTTGTACGGGCAAGTCATGGAACGTCAATTGATTGAGGTTAAAGCCGACTTGAGCAGAATTGAAGCTGGGCTAGCTGCCCAGCATGTGAGTTACCAGGAGATTCAAGCTGCTCTTCAGGATTGTCAATCGTGCAACAACTCACTGACCTCATTCAAATCTGAGTAGAGAATCAGATCAAGGATCGTGAGATTCAGAGGCTCCGTGCGGCTGCTTCTAGCGCCCCGAGCACTGGTTCACCTCCCAAGCCACCGAAGCCTTCGGCCCCTCCATTGGCTTCAGTGTCCGGCTCTAGCGCGGCTTCCTGGGTTCATTTGGAGTCCTCTGACCCACCTCCTGATAGGAAGCTCTACTCCGGCACCTTGTGCCGCCCCTCCGTTGGCGCGGGCCAGAGAGGAAAACAACTTCTCTACTGTGTTGCTCGGCTTCTTGACTGAGAGTGGCAGAAATGGCGGACAGGTGGCGCGACAAGCCGTGTCCAGCAGCCGCCGCCGAAGAAGCCCAAAGCTCAGCCAAGTGAAGTTTCCCTTATCAGTCGATTGATGGCGCTGCTTGAAGAGCTCGCTAAGTAGCAAGCTGCTGATGATGCGGTAATCAAGAAGGTTCAAGGCCTCCTGAAAAAGCCCTCGCCTCAAGCCGCGAACATTGGCCCGCGTGAAGCTAGAGCCCCTCGTAAGAATGGTGTCAATTTGCGCCAGCTTGCGGAGAAAGCAACAACTGAGCAAAGAGTCGCTCTCAAGAGTCAGAAGTCTCATGATTCTGGAGGGCCGATTTCCTTGAATGCTAGTGAGTGGACAAAGCCTGTCAAGCTTGTTTCCAAGGCTGCTGTGTTGAAAGCAGTTGAGCAAGGGATTGACATTGAAGGGAACGGTACGGTAGTGAAATCCCAAGCCGAAGCCAGGGAGCTGAAGGCTCTGTGGAATGCTGCCACCCGATACGATCCTTTGACTGTCCTCCTCCCCGATGCTGGCTGCGCCGCCCTAGTTGGGTAAAGCGCTAAGGTGTCCCTGAAGCGTGGCGCTGGCCCTTACGCATTTCAGGACTCCACGATCGTAGTCCTGGACGACATGCAGTCATTCTGCGGCGTGGGCCCCACAAGCCTCCAAGGTTGAAGTCTCCAAGTTTGCTCCGCCTGCCAAGGTTACGATCAGGATCTCAGCTCCGTACCACGAGAGAATCATGTTCAGGAATGATGATTGGTGGGATAAGATCACTGATGTTCTGTCGGAAATCGGCAAGCGAAAGGTCTGCGAAGTCTCTCAGCTGAGGGGTGGGAGTCGGAAGTGGTCGTCGACTAAGGGAGGCCACCAGTTGGTCGGACACCTGAGGGTTCACCAGTCCCTCTCGGACACTCTTGTCCGTAAGAGCGGAGAGAAAGGCATCATCATCACGCAGACTCAGGTCACCGATCGCCCTATCGAGTTCATCAGATGGATTCCCAAGGGTGAGCAGGATGATGAGACTTACTTCAGGTCAGCGGTTGCCGCTGCGGCTGCAAATGGGCAAGGCTTCAAGTAATTACGGCATTGGCAAAGGAAGCGATTACGGCATCTTGTGTGCCGCAGGAGATGAGGCCCCAGAGCCTCCCGCCATCATGCACGGTGCAGGCTCAAGGTGTTCCAAAGGCCTGGGAAGGTTGCGAGGTCTCCTCCTTTGCCTCTCAAGGATGGAAGGACGTTGTCTGTGTCGCTAGGAAGTGGCAAGGCAAGAAAGGCGTTCAATGAATCCTCAAAGGCTTCCCTCCCGTAGGCCTTGGAGACACTGAGCATGACACGGTTTGGCAATACTGCGACAAGGATGATCCGAAATGGCACATTCACGTTTCTAAGGCTCTAAGGCCCCTCCTAGAGATCCCAAAGTCTCTGATGTGTATGAGGTTCGAGGTCCCGCGAAGAAGTTTTTTCTCAACGAGAGCGTGCCGAAAAAAATCCAAGCCTCAGGGTCATTGATCTAGAAGCTATGGAAGTGGAGACTGGGCTAAGCAGGCGGCCCCTGCTACTCCAGCTGCGACAGCTCCTGAGGTTGACGAGGTCGTTCGAGAAGGTTGGGAGGAGGGGTGCTAGGAATGCAGCCTCAGTGCCACCTTCGTCTGTTCCGTGGCAAAGACAGACCCGGACTCCGTGGGCAAAGCTCTCGAGCCCCGAGCTTCCTGAGTGGCCAGTACAGCTGCCTGCCTTATAGCAGCGCGAAAATTAGCGCACAAACTGAAGCTACTCTGACTGGGAGAAGTTGAGTGAAGGAGTGCCTCCATCGCTACGCCCTGCGTCGGACGCGGCGCTCGAGAAGGAGTGCAGCGAAGGGGTTCGACTACCGTTGGCCTTAGCACAGTATTCTGCTAGAGGACCTGCAGCCGCTCCGAAAAAAAGTGAAGAAAGGGCGATAAAGGGAGTAGAGCCTCCGTTTGGCGCTGTGCCCTGCAGCACCTGCCTCTCGGGAATCAAGGACTCTCGCAGCCAACTGC